GGAAAGAAAATTTGCACCATATCAAAAAAAAGGGTGGGCAAATGTAGCTCAGGCATATTGGGGCATAACTTTTCTTTGCTGACGTCAGAAGAATTATGAAAATGTGACGTCCTGACATAAATCTGAAAAATCTAACGTTTCGGTTCTGATGTTCATCCTTACGATATGCTGTTGTGTCCACATTAAATTTAAAATCATGCACCGGCATAGTTACTCTATATATATATATGGAGCAGTTTAGATCCTGACTTGTCATTTTTACTAGTTTCCTCTTTTGGGATGCATGCATGGATAACACGGATAAACAGCAATAAGACCACAAGCACAGCCAAACACAAACAGGCATAAATAACCCATCTGATGTAAGTATTAGGCAGACTGGTTTCAGTTTGCAGGTGTTTTTCATCTCTGGTAGCTAAGACAGAAAGAGGGGAAAAGCATATATTGTAAAGACTGAAAAAGCAAAATGATAACTCACAAAAATAATTATTGTTTATAATGTTATATACCTTGTTTTGCCATAGAAGATGCAGTGCTTCTAATTGATTGTTCTGTGGAAAGATAAAAACAATTTTGTCTAATTATGCTCACTCAATTCATTCATCTTAAAGCATTAAGCATGAGAAACTAATGTTTAATCCCTGTGCCAGCAAGACTCAACAGAAATAAAAACGGAGTAAAAAAAAAAAAAAAGTTAACAAACCTGAGGATGGTTTTGGTTTGCATTGTTTTGAGTCTGTAAAAATATTTTATGACACCTTTAATTAATGACCTCATAAAATATTTTTAAAATAAACATAAGATTAATTTTGGAACTGCTTTATTTACCTCTGACAAATAGCGTAACTTCACAGCTCGGTTTCCCATCAATACAGAGAATATATATGCCTTGATCTGACTGATCACATCCATCAATGTAAAGGGATAAATCTTCATTCAACTCTACTGTCCTGTTCATGAAAGTATCTCCTTTTTTGCGGTCTCCGTTGTAGTTCCAGATCACTCTTTCACCAGAATCTTTTTTCCAAAGTGCATTTATCTCCACTTTGCCCTCGATATGATTCTTTGGGTCCAGACAGGACAATGTAGTGTGATCACCCTTACACTTTGTGAAACCTCAATACAAAATAGAACTTACATTATTTGTTAGGAACAATAAATATGACCTGATATAGATATTAAATTGTAGTAATTCTGTAAGAAATCAAACTTGCATTACTTTTGTATAAAGTGCTTACCTCTATTGGCTGTGCTCAAGGGAATCAGCAGGAGGATCCACGAGATACCTGTTGACCTGCAGGTAAAAGGTGTATATTTAAATATATGAAATATAGCAGTTAAAGAAAACCAGTTATATAAGGGGAATATTTGCTTGTCCTGAAGATAGCCTACTAAATTTGACCAGTAAATAGGGCTTTGTTCACACTGCAGGGGAAATCTGTTTGCTTGTTTTGTCATATTAACTGACAAACTGAAACTTTAATTACAATGAAAAATTGTATTTCAATCTCAAACTTTCAAACCACCTACAAATTTAGCTTATTATGCCTTGTTTATTATGCCTACCCTTTATACTTAATTAACTAATGAACGACACTTTTCACTAAATTTGATAATACAAGATAAACAAAGTTACATAAAACATTTCCCAAAATGTACATACATAATTCCAAACGTACATAATAACAGAAATACACATTCCAGCTATTACTTCAATATTTTAACTAATACATTCACAATTTATTAATACATATAATTATTTATCACCTTGCATTTATACATTTTCTTAAATTTGCAAAGTGAATTACATAATTCCTTATCACATTTATTCCATAGATTTACCCCTTTGACAGATATACACCTATTTTTTTTGCATTAGTTCTTGCCCTACCTTTTTAAACATACATTCCTCTTAGATTATACTGACTTTCTCTTATTTTGAACAGCCTCTGAATACAATTTGATCAAATTATTTACTTTACATATGCTGTATGTCAGTATTCGCTGAGATGGCTTACCTTAAAAAAATACTGAATTAAGATTATTCAAAAATATACCATCATGGCCTGAACCCATAGTCCATTGTATGTATAATAAGAGATAAACGGTGACCTGAGCAAATTATTAGGTCAGTGTTAAGTGCAAAGCTTCGCTGTAGTATTGCTGCATTGCAAAGTAGATGTGAAAAGTGTTAAAGTACAGCCATTATAAAATACAAAGTGTTGCTGTGATCTGTAGGCTAAACATGCAAGTGCAGCCTTGCAGATAAATTGTGGAAACAGTCCACTGATCGGGAAAAATAAGAATACTCTGTAAAAAACAAACAAACTTTTGCTCAAAGGTAGAGTTGAGACACATTCCCAAATCTGTAAGGAAACATTAATACTTAATATGAATATTTATTTACATTTTCTTAGGTCTTGGTGGAAAATTATAATTTAGGCAAATCATATAGGGATATCCTCTTAAATTAACCCCTTTGTGAAACAAAGATGTATCCAATTGTTCCAGACTGGCTTCTTAGGAATAGCTGTTGCTGTGTAAAAATCGTAACAGCAGGCTATAACAAGTTAAAACATTTGAGCTATCTGAATGAGAGAGAGAGAGAGAGAGAGAGAGACCCAAAATACTTTCACCCCCTTCGAACAACGGCGAATTTAAAACTATTAATTTACACAAATACACATTTATTCAATGCAAAGTTTTATTAAAAGTAAAACGCACCGTAGTACTATACATGTTTAAAACAGTGCAATCGATGTATTAAATAGGCTACAGTTTATGTTATGCAGTATTAAATTCAGCTCCTTTATTTGCGCGCAGTTTCAGACTTTCGGGGACGCCTCATGTGGTAACGTTAGTTCTCCAGGATGATCGAGCTCTTCTGGCCTGAAAGTATTAAGCTGCATACTCACAGCATTTCGCGCTGACATGAGTTGAGTTCAGTTGACTGTAGATGTCTATAGTCTCCTCCCTGTTTCTGAGCTCAACAGTGCCACATACGCTCTGACTTAGTTTGCGAGGAGATCGCTCCCGTATATCAGGAAAAAAAGGTTGGCTATATCGACTACGGGTGGCGCTTATAGTAGTAGCTAACGATTGCATAGTTTAGTACGAGTCCTCTACTACTCTACTCAAGTGTGCAGTGAAGCCATTTCGGTCGCCATCTGGTGGCTGGATGCAATATATATTTTTACAGTCTATGGTTAATAATACCAAGTATGGGACGGGACCTGTTTTTATACGGTCTATGGACGGGACATGAACCAATACATCTACCAATAGCCAACGACTACTCAAGTGATTTTGATCAAACAATAACCACTGTTGTGTGGACTGTATTATTTATGTATGTATGTATGTATTTATTTATTTGACAAGGAAAATACTAATTTAATCTCTTTTTACAACGTCTTGGCTCACATCTCGTTCTACGCTACTCTTTTCCATAGTGTCCATATGTCTGTTCCTTATAAATAGGGCCTATTTTTGGAGCAGCATCTATACATTTTAAAGTTTGGCTGCTGCATAAATTGAGTAAATGTTCAGGAAAGGGACAATAAAAACAAACGTTGCTTAATTGTACATCCAAAATGGCATATACGGGTATAAACTACCATTATAATAAGGATGAGTCAGTTGGTAGCCTATATAGAAAGTAAAAGCACATTTATGTCCAGGTCTGAGGGAAGTACCTATCCTACGCAATTACTGATCATGATCATTACTCGTCCAATGTTGTACCCGGAAAAGGTTAATGCGCAATCCTGTTTTTTTCTTCTCTTCTCATGTTAATGGGTTTTATAAAACAATGACCTCACTAAACAGTGTCTCCTGGTGGTTATGCCACTGTCTTCCAGTATGTTGTTAACAATTAATCAATAAAGAAGATCTTGCTGTGCTGAATGATATGTAAAGAGACATAATATAAGCACTATGAAAATACAACAACAATGATGAACTCCTTAATGGGCACAGCAGGATTTCGTCGGCTCATAGTGAATACTCAGGTTTTCTTTTACAACACCGAAAGACCTTTTGTGCTAATTTAATTTTAATGCTTGCTTGAATTGTTGATCATCCTGTTTGCGTTTTATCTTGCATGACATGCACAGCATTGGTTGGTCTGACAAGTAGAATTCCAAATCAAAAGCACTTGGACCTAATTTGATTTGCACAAGTGAGGGTCTTATTCTAATATGCACCATGTTTAGCATCAGTAGTTCTTAATTTCTCTCTGTTGGTGCTGTAATCCAATGATGAGCATTCACCTATAGCCTAAACTAAATACTTAATTTGTGTGATTTAAACTAAACATAACTGCAACTTTATTCGTCAAATTTATAAAAAATCCTTGCAAATGGATTTTCTTTAATATTCATTATTCCATAATGGCATGACACACTTCGAGCACTAGATAGTGTTAAATATGTTTGTTATGGTTGCACAAAAACAAGTAACACCATCCAAACATACAGAACTGTCATTAAAATCTGAATTCTTTGCTGATGAAGTTAAATTCTGGCGTATGGTAACATTATCAAAAAATGTTATTATTCTGTGGATATACAGTAATGGTATATTTAATTATTGAATAATAATCTAAATGATGAATATTGTCTTCATTGACCTCTTTCAGGTTTGATGATTTTTTTCTCAATACCTCCTAGTTGGCATAACCATTGATTTACATAACTTTTACTTTGTCAAAAATATCTCTAGGTGATATATTACATTAAATAGAATGTTCAGGTTGTTATTAAATTTCTTATAGAGACAAAATGACTGCAGCAGAAATATTAGATTTTTGAAAATGATTGTTCCTCTGTCATTTGTATACTGAAGTACCAGATAATAAAACATGTTATATCCAGCCTTTGTTATGCAGTTTTTATTTATTTTGTACAAATGCATTTCTTTTCATTTAATGCTTGCATATACTGTGTCCTGTGTGAGATGATGTTGTCCTCTGTTTCTTTGTGTTTTATTTATATTTACAGATGCATATGAAATTCCATCAGCTTCATTCTCCTGAAACAGTAGAGGTAAATGTACATTTCCATTTGCTAACCAATGAATAATGTAAATATATATATATATACATATCGAATTTAACTTCTTTAGAAGTCTAAAAGGTGAATACCTGCTCGTCCTGTGTACTTGTATGTAATGTCTTTGATTCCTTTAAGTTTTCTGAAAAAAAAGGATAGAAAAAGAAAGAAATAAAAAGAATAGAAAATAAAATAAATTTGTAATTTATACAGTTGAACAGTTAAAAAATGTTTAGGAATGTACATGAATTGTGCTATGTGCTGCTAACCTTCTTTTTGTCTGTTTATTCTCCAGCACATACACACATTTGACATCAGTGAGAGTAATAGAAGTACACAGATCACAGGCAGCCATATTGTGGTACTGATATAATTACCAAGACCAATAGTTTTTTTATCCTCTATCTCTTCTGTATTCTGCTGCTCTACATCAGGATAAGGAAAATATGGCAGGATTTTAGGATCTGAATTGTCAGTTCAGTTTGAACTCATAAAATACCATATATTGTATAATATTATAGCATTTTTTTAAACTCAACATAAATGTACTGAAATTCCCAATGACTTTCTGTCAAGACAACAATTATTTTACTTTTTCAAGAATGCAGTCATATTTTCTTTTCATGTTTTTCATTGTTCACCTTTGCTCAAACATTTTAAATGAACAGGCCTATGATAATGTTATTCATTGAAATGCATGTATACCTTCATAGTCCAGTTTTGTGCAGTGAGTTTGCTCGATCTTATAGTCAGTGCAGCAGTAGAGCATGAGATCAGTGTCAGTGATGTTCATCAGAAGCAGAGAGTGAGTGTTTGTGGATGAACTGAGAGCTCTTATCCGACCTGCGTAACTGGGGTGAATATTGGAGGGCTCTGGTTTAGATTTACCTCCATAAAGATATTCTAGTCTCAGAATTCTGATAAATGTTTGGTTTCCATTTGTAATGATCCAGGTGATCTCTTTATCATTTTTAATGCTACAGGGCAGTGTTGTGTTTCCTCCTGGATCAACTTTCACTGATGATCCTTCAGTGACAATCATTAAGACAACACAGAAACCTGGAGATTAAACAAAATCAAGTATTACGACAAACTGGCTTTTTTTTTTTTGTCGTTGCAAATTGATGCAAATGTTCTTTATACTGTACATTAATTGCTAATAGAACCGAGAGAACTGAGAATAATACTTCATAAATCAGCATTGTTTTTCCTAATAAAGTATTTCCTAGATTGTGGAACATAGTTATATTTGTCTTCTGTTGTCAAAATGAGAATTAGTAAGGGACCAGTTTAGAGCATTGGAGGATGATGTTATTATTGCTACTTTTCATCATAAACATATCAATAATTCAGTACACAAACGAATGAAAATTGAATGTATAATGACTTCAGAGTGTATTTACTCCAATTTATTAATTTTTTTAATTGAAATCTCAATTTCACAATTTCACTTTTTAAATATTTTTTTTTAGAATATTTGATTTCTTGATTATGAAACTAGTTCTTAAATTCTATTTTTTTTAAACAAATTATATATTTTTTTACCTGCATAAGTGAATGTTCTATTGAGAAACACTTGCTGTTGTTCCAGTTGCTGTGCACTTTGCTTTCAGTCACAGTGACCATAGCAGTGCTTAGGCCTTTACCATGAATGCTACTGTATATGAACTCTTCACATTCATGTACAAGACTGGCTGATTTAGAACTGACAGATTTAGTTTCCACACTAACATCCTTTTGAACTTTTGATCATGAAATTAAGGTTTTCATTTCCATTTCTCAGTGGTCCAGAATCTGGTTTCAGAAAAGATCACATGCATTTTTCTGGACCAGTGTTTTTTGTAGTAAGACATTACTAGAAATGCCCACAATGGCTTCAAGCTTGCCAAGAGAATGCATTCACAATCAGACTCAAATCAAGAAAATATTCTTTTCTATTGCTATATATTCTTAAATATTGTCACTTTTTACTGTGAACATTCAGCAGTCAGCCATCACAGACAGAAAATCTGAAAATCTATCAATTCAAAGATCATTCTATGAAGGATTCTTTATGATACCACATTATAATATTGCAAACTCAGTCAATCTCTCTCCTAATACATTTGAAGAAGAGGTCAGAAAAAAGTAAAGTTATAAAAAATGCCATTTTTTGTCCATTGCTAATTTCAGTCCATCATGCACAGAAAAACAGACACTGCTTAATCGTGCACTCATATGCGTAAACACATAGGATACATATATTAAGCAAAAGGAGGACACATAAAGCCTTTGGCATACTTATCAATCCTCTCAGCATGATTCTCTCTGGGCTTCTCTCTCTGTGGATGCAAGCAGAATGAAAGACACTTGTGGTGTTTTCCCCTTTTATTTCATAACGTCATAGATGCCCTTGACTCACCAATAGGCAATGACCCTGTGATAGAAAAATACACAGAGGGATGCAAATTAATGTACAAGCAACCTATAGGAATGGATCAGTATTTTACTTGCCAGGTTGTTTACAGTTACTTATGAGGGCGACAGTAATATGAGGGTGAGTAAATGATGACAATTTTTAGTTTTGGATGAGCTATCCTTTTAATTATCCAAGTTGTCATATAGTTGAGTATTTTAAGAGGGTAACAAATTCCAGGGTCTTCAAAATCAACTTAATGTGAAATGACACAAATGTAAGATAATAATGTATCATTTAAATTATGATCATTCTTTTGAAATGAAAATATATCAATTATGGATGCAAGAGCGGTTGAACAATCAATAATGACTTTGCTTTTGTCATCACGTTATTCTGAGGTCTTTAAGTTATCACACTTTTCTAATGCTACGAGTTGTGAAAAAACAATTGCCATTGTGCTTCATTAAATAATCAAATTTAGCAACAACCTTTCAGACTCAATCTTCTGGCAAAAAGAACCTAAGGATTGTACAAGCCACATTTTTTTTTTCATTCAAATTTACAAAACTAAATTAAAAGCACACCACTGAGTGCATTTGAGGTTTAGACCCACTGCATGGCAAGGAATGGTAATGAGCATGGCTGTAGGCTGAGTTCACCGAAAATGTTCATTTTCAAAGCAAAAATAGATATCTTATTAAGTGGTTGTTGTGGTGAAGCTCTCACAAAAAATATCAATGGTCGCAGAGAACCGAAAAATAAACGTTGACTAATGTTTCAACTGAATGCTCACACAATACATTAAATGTTTTAGTTAAAACGTTCATTGATTCAAATGAATTTCAATCACAATACTATAATAAAGCACCACTAAGGCTTTGATCACTGATGAGACTTTATTATTAATTATTTTTTGTTTCAAACATACACTTACTTTTCTTGCCTCCAGTAGCTACTTCCCCTCTGCTGTCTCAGCAATCATGACAAACACTGACACGTAGCTGCATCTCTGTGGAAAGATGTTTTTGTGATTTTGTTTATTAAGAATATACTACAAATATTAACAATAATTGAAATGATAGCCCAGCCACATTGCAGTCTTTTCTCAAGATTACTTGCACTATTTGAAATGCTTTTTATATGCTAAAGTTAATAATGCATCTTAACAAAAACAGATTTGGAGGAGCTGTGGTCTAGCTTTTAAGAAATGTGTTGAAGCCCCTGAGTTCCTGTATCAGGAAATCCATGTGCGTAACAAGAAAACACTGACATGACTGAGACTTCCGCAGGAGGTACTGTTTGCCTTACAAAGTCTTAGCAGTGTCATACCACAATGAATTCATTAAAGAGTTTACTATAGGACTAAAAAAAGGGAAAGAGAAACTGAACAGACCAAATAAATAAATTAATTAATTCAATGCAGGTGGAAATCCACTACAGACCTAGAAGAACATCTAAGGTACTGTATGTGAAGGTAGGATTCCAAGCCAATTAAATTACTTAAACTGGACTGGACCGACTATCCACAAGTTCTAAAGGTCAATTGACTAACATTGAGGTGAAATTCAATTGTAAATAACATCACTCATAACTTATTTTTACTTTAGTGAATGAAAAATATTCTGGACAAAATTCACACTAAAAATGGACACAAAAATATCAACATTCCTGCAGAATTTACGTGGATGATCATTCAGTAAACATTAGTCATGATTTGGTGTTATCTAGTGTTGTCTGTGTACTTCTCTTGCTTTCTCTAGCAACAAAAGTCTGTCGGGGCTAAAAGTAAAAAAGAAGAAAAAAGTGTAGGTAATTAATACGAACATTATGTCCTATATGGCATTAAACCCACAATTTGGGTTAACCTAATGTTGGTAAGAATGAATGAGTGTGTGTGTGTGTGTGTGTGTGTGTGTACGATTAGGTCAGTATAAAAACAACACAACAGGGGGTATCTCCTCAGCCACCACCAGTGTGCAGCATCCACCTGGATGATGCGACGGCAGCCATAGCGCGCCAGAACACCCACCACACACCAGTTTATTGGTGAAGAGGAGACAGAGTGATAAAGCCAATCAGTAGACATGGGGATTGTTAGGAGGCCATGATGATCAGAGGCCAATGGGCAAATTTGGCCAGGGTGCCGAGGGTAAACCTCTACACTTTTCGAAAGACATCCTGGGATTTTTAATGACCACAGAGAGTCAGAACCTCAGTTTAACGTCTCATCCAACAGCAACCTAGTTTTCCCAGGAGGTCTCCCATCCAGGTACTGACCAAGCTCAACCCTGCTTAGCTTCAGTGGGCAACCAGTCTTGGGCTACAGGGTGATATGGCTGCTTAAAGAAAAGCTGATATGGCTTATATATGTACATATTTTATGTACATATACCATATTTTGAGGATAAATTTGTACTCAGAAGTGAGCTAAACCTGACAAAACCTCTTTTGAGGATGTCCTCATTTTGTAAAAATGCAAAATGTTAGGGTATGAATTAAGTTACAGTATTTTAACTTGCTGTATCTAAAAACTGTAGAAGTGTGTGTGGTTCAGGTATTCCCTACATTGTAGGCAACAAATGTCCCCACAAGCAAAGTAATACTTGAAAATATCTTGAAAATACAGTATCTTAAGGTTTTAAGTTTTGTTACTTCATGTTATTTTAGCTTATCAATACAATGTGCTATCTAACCAACAATATCTGATAAAGGGAAAGGGCCTCTAATGCAGCTTTCTGTTAACCCCATGACTGTGATGATGGTTTCACTGTGTGTGAGAGAGAACATGATCCTAAGACTATTTATATGTGAGTATATGAAATGCTATTTGATAAGCCAATACAGAAATGCAAATGCTTTTATTTGACCAGTTCTGTGAATATTATTGAGTCCTGTATAATAAAATGCTTGTGATGTTCTTCACCTGTAAGTTGCTTTGGATAAAAGCATCTATTAAGTGATTAAATATCCATAATTATCTGCGTCATGATTTTTATCATGTTTCATCTTCAGGTTTCAGTGTCTTAATGATTGTCACTGAAGGAGCAGCAGTGAAAGTTCATCCATGAGGAAACACAACACTTCCCTGTAGCATTAAAAATGATACAGAGATTAACTGGATCATTACGAATGGAAACCAAACATTTGTTAGAATTCTGAAACTAGAATATCTTTATGGAGGTAAATTTAAACCAGAGCCCTCCATTATTCACCCAAGTTATGCAGGTCGGATAACAGCACTAATTTCTCCCATAAACACTCACTCTCTGCTTCTGATGAACATCACTGATACTGATCTCATGCTCTACTGCTGCATGGACTTCACACTTGAACGATCTCACTGCACAAAACTGGACTATCAAGGTATATGTTTCAGACAATTTCTATGTACATTCAAATATATTAATTTAAAATGAATGATCATGTGAGCATTTAATGCTTTTAAATTCAGTATCAATTTTAATATCAATTTCCTTGGAAACATAACACAGGAGAACAAAGAATGTTGTCATATACTCAGCATTCTGTTAGGTGATGTAGATTTCAGCATTGAAGATGTTGATCAGGATACAGATACTATCAGTCATGAATCAGAGATCGTCTTATGGCTGCCTGTCGTCTGTGTGCTTCTGCTACTGTTACTGGTGTCAAGTGTCTATGTGTGTTGGAGAGGAACAGGACTGTGAAAAGGTTGATTTTACTTGAGCATGATTTTAATTTCATGAATACCAATAATGGTTTCAGTAATGTTTTAGTATAATTGTTTTCTCATTTAAAGGTTGTGGAAGAACTAATAACCTGAACCAGGACTGGATTCACAATAGTGTTCAGGTCAGAATCTCTCAGTTTGGTAGTTAGTAGTTTGTAATTACCACATAAGACTATCACATTCTCTTTTTTTCTTGCTTTCCAGGGTAAAATGGAACAAGATGATTGGACACTGGCTGACGTTTTTTATACACTGATACCGTAATTGATTATTTCAAAATTCTTTTATTCACTTATCTTCATCTTTTGTCTTATTTAATACAATGTGTCTCTTTGGTAATCAGAGTAGTTTGATAACCCCTTTTTTTCAGATGTGCTTCAATGTGCAGATTGCTATGAATTGTATGTTTAACACTTAACTGTTTATGTCAATGCTTTATGATATGTTCTGCCACTTTAAATGTCTAACTTATGCACATGAATAATGACAATACTTGCAATGGCCTATACTCTTGTATTTTATTGTGACTATATGGTATCAAAAAGCTCCTCTCTCACAGCAGCCTTTTAACAATGTTTCCTGTCTGTGATTGTTGACTAAATGTAGCTCATGTGCCAGCAATTTACAAAGCAAGTCGTCTCACGCACATTGAACAGAGACACTCTATTTAGAGAAATACTTCTAATAAAGTGATAGCAGAACTGAAATAGAGAATTAAGAAGCTTTTTTTTTTGGATGCATTTTCTTGTGGTTGTCTAAAGCAATGACTTTGGTGGACATGTCCTAAACCTTTTATGTTAGACATTATGTTCAGTGGCTGTTAACTACATCCTGTTTTTCACTGCTGCTGATGGTTGTTTATGACCACATATAGCACTTAACCACAATGAACCACTAATGGGAGAAATGTGCTGTGGCATCTGACCAGAGAGATTGTTTCAGAGAACAACGGATGGAAAGATGGTCACACCACTCAGAATGTAAATGAGGTAGCTTAGTAGTCTTTGATATATTGCATGATGTTTGTTTAAAAGGGCATTATTGTGGATTGATTAATTAACATTTAATTTGTTCTAATAATAATTAAAACAGGTGTGAATAAAAAAATGGTATCCATAAGTTTAAATATGTATTTTAATATATATTACATTTTATGATAGCAGATAATTGACCAGTGCCTGATTTTTGTTGGCAAAATAGATATAATAAACAGTAATTAATTAATTAAATAAAATAAAATAATAAATAATAATAAATAAATAAATAAATTAATTTTTATTTCTGTATAATACCTGGAATTAAATAAAATAAAATAATAAATAATAATAAATTAATTAATTAATTATTTTTTATTTCTGTATAATACCTGGAGAAAGCATCTAGCCACGCCCTGCTATTGAGATTAATGTGAACAGATACTGTAGCTCTTTGCAGGTATTAGTTCACTTTGGTTAAGCCCATTTCTGACACCTAGCGGCGGAATTGCTCTCTACATTTTCAGATTCCTAAATGAATTTAGAGTCGGCTCTATTATGGATTGTTCGCGAATCGCGATTCAGTCGGAATCGAACAGATCAAACCGTTTCCAACTCGTTTGAAGTGGTCTTCCGCTGATCTACTGATCTACCTCTGGATACTGGATTAAGTGAATATTTACCTACAGTCAATTGAAAAAAGCATCAGTTTGCAGTGATTAAGGAGGTCTTTTTAAAATCTGCAGGTGACGCTTGCTATCTGATACCATCACTGTACTATGGTAATTTTGGTCAACTGTCACGTGTTTAAAATATTATAGATATGATGTGTTCATAGATTGGTAGGCCCTATTGATGGTGTCGTTTGCCAACAGAAAAGCCTCGCATGTGTAACATATAAAGAAGGCTACATAGTCCTTTAGAAAATGTTACATTTTTGTTTTTGAACATCTTTGTTATTGTTTGGGGATATATTGTTACTTTGTTCATTTTTCTTTTTTGCAATGCCTATTTAGGCTATGCATCCCTGAAAATAATTAGTTTTTTTTGCTTGCCAGATATTTGTTTTCTACTGTTTCAGCTGTGCTGTTTTACAGGCACAAAACAGTTCAAAATGCAAGGACTGACATTGTGATTTGATCAGTTATTACAAGGCGTTCTCTACTATGGCGCACATGCTATCACTGTCGCAGAAAAGCCTGTACAAACCACTGAGAAACATCAACCACAACTCAAACCAGTAAATGCTGATCATACTTTATTTGTAGTTTCAGATTGCAATTGTTCCGTTGCAAATTGTCATGCTATCATGTCCATGTTTTCTCATACAGATCAGTCACTAGCATCACACTTCTTGCCAGGAGTAACTTTTTAGACAGTAGTCACTATAATGGATTATGTTAGCGGGAGCATGGAAGCCAGGAGCTAGTCCGCATTGGTTTCAGCTAGTTGCTTTCTTTGAGCTGTGCCGCAAAAAAAAAAAAAAAAATAGTTTCTAACATGGCACCACAATATCCACAATCATCAGTTTTTCCCCTTTACTATTTATGCAGTACTAGGGTCCTCTAAATGGTTGCTAGACTGTGAATAGTGAGTAGTGTCAGGGTGGTACTGAAATGCTGCTTGCTACCCTGAATCAAAATGTTCTGATCCAGATTTGACGCAAAGTCTGATTCATAAGTAGTAGTAGGCCCTATATGTTTGTATAGCTACAATACCACCACTAAAATGGTGTAGAACACTATATTAAATATTTGAACACTTATTAGCATTTTATATTGATACAAATGCTTGAGTTTACAACTTACAAAAACTGACGAATTTTCCTCCTCACCCATGGTTGCCTAGGATCACTGCAGAACTCCCCCTGTTCAGTCTCAAAGCTTACAGAAAGAATAAATACATTGTTAAAGATGCACTAAATGTCAGATGCCATTGATTTTTAGTACTGATGTGTGTTTTTTCTAGAGAGTAACTGTGATTCTTACATGACGGCCCTCACACATGGAAGACTTTCCCTTTGCATCCTGAAACTGATGATGGGATCGATCACCTCTGCTGCAGAGATGTTAGTACAGCATGATTTCACCTCTTCAGCATCTGCTGAAAACCCAAAACAAAAGCAGAGTAATCCACAATATTTTGCAAAGTTAAATCAGAAAGAATACTGTACAAGTTAGAAGCACTTTACCTGTTATAGTCCAGATCACAGATGCAATGACCACAGCAGCCAAACTCCTCATGAGGATCCTGCATGTCTCCATGTTCACAGCTGATCTCCAGCTTTCACTTTATTTATCTGAGAGAATATATTCAAGGTTCTTGTTAGTTCGCCTTAAGTAGTAATAAGGGGGGAAGGAAAGAGGAAATTGCATGGGCTACACCCTGTCCATTGCAAGCACATTTATTTTTGTGGATGATTTAATCATTTTTCCATCTCGTCAGCAAATCTGGATATTTGTGTAGTTTAGTTTGGGAGTAAACAATCATTAGCGGCTACATGTTTAGGAAAATGACTACACTTACTGCTAATAAATTTGAGGTATGGTTAGGTTTAGATGTTAGGGGTTAGATTTTTGGGTTAAGGATTGGGTTAGGTTAGGGGGGAAATTAACAGTGTAACTAAAGTTTGAATTAAATTCTTAGTAAAAAAAAAAAAAAATCCTAAAATCTTGGTTTTAGGAACACCTGGATGACATTTATTTTATAACCTTGCTGTAATTTCCGACATTAGAAATATGAAATAGAAATATGAAAGAAATTCATATGGGTTCCTTCAATTAATGGTCTTAAATATGATTAAAGACTGGACATAGTTAAAAAAAAAATTTTCCCCCCTGAAAATTTAAAGCAGATAAAAGAAAGCAGGTAAGTGAAACATATTGATCAATATTCTCATAAGCTAAAGGAACATCTAGGTTTTTTTTTTTTTTATATACTAATGAAATGAACACAGTATTGTCATGGTTATAAACGTCTTTGAGATTAGACTGTGTACAGAAAGCTTATATTATAGCATCCACACATAGATGTGGTCTTCTTTAAGGAGGGATTTGTACCTTTGACACATCCTTTTAGCAGTTGACAAAAATTACAAACTGATGTAAATGGCAACAAACCACAGAGAGAGAAAATGATCCTGGTACAGATTATATGTGAGTATGTAAAGTTCTCAAATGCTCTATGTTCAGTGATGCTATTGATATTAATTGATAAATTGCTCGTGATTTTCCGTGTTTGTAAATTGGTTTTGATAAATACTTCTGCTACATGATTAAATGTCAATAATCACAATGATCCAGACTGTCAAGTACGTTTTTCTTGGATTCACATTTTCCATATAAATCAAATTATTTTATTGTTTCATCTTCAGGTTTTAGTGTCTTAATAATTGTCACTGAAGGATCATCAGTGAAAGTTGATCCAGGAGGAAACACAACACTTCCCTGTAGCATTAAAAATGATAAAGAGATCACCTGGATCATTACAAATGGAAACCAAACATTTGTTAGAATTCTGAAACTAGAATATGTTTATGGTCCAGAATCTAAACCAGAGCCCTCCAATATTCACCCCAGTTACGCAGGTCGGATAAGAGCTCTCAGTTCATCCACAAACACTCACTCTCTGCTTCTGATGAACATCACTGACACTGATCTCATGCTCTACTGCTGCACTGACTATAAGATTGAGCAAACTCACTGCACAAAACTGGACTATGAAGGTAGGATTTTTTCTTCATATTTTTTTTTATTAAACACATTCCTAGGTTTATTTTTAATTTAATTGCTATTTAATTGTTATTTTTAATTTAATGTTGGCCTAAAATAAAAGGAAAACAATGTGACCACTTACTTAATTTTGCTTCCTGTGAATCAAAACTCATACTAAATTAGAAATCTATATTTTTCTGTGTTGTGCGTAGAAGTGAGCACTGAAGATGTTGATCAGGATACAGTTACTATCGGTCATGAATCAGTGATCATCAATATCATCCCATGGCTGCCGATTGTCTGTGTGCTTCTGCTACTGTTACTGGTGTCAAGTGTCTATATGTGTTGGAGAGGAACAGGACTGTGGAAAGGTGATTTCCTTTTAAGTTTAGATGGCATTAAAATACCATTAGTTTACATTATATTTTCTGTATAATTGTGTTCTCAATAAAGGATTTGCAAGAAGTAATGACCTGCACCGGGACTGGATTCACAATAGTGTTCAGGTCAGAAGCTCTCATACATTAGTCTGCTAGTAATATAAGACTGCATTTACCGTATATGACTATCACATTTTCTTTTTTCTCACTTTCCAGGGCAACATAAAGTTGGGTCATATGTGTCCAGATGATTGGACACTGGCTGAAGTTATTTATACACCACTAAATACAATTTTTTGTATCATCATTTCAAAGTTCCTTTATATACCTATATCATCTTTTGTGCTCATCACATTATATTGCTTTTATTTAATTGTATCACATTGAATGTTAAAATGAAAAACAAAGCTATGAATGAACTTTTCTTCAACTATGTGTAAAATACTCTTTAATGTAAGCACATGTATTGCGTTTGCATCACCTGTACTGTTGTCTTGTAGCTCTGGTATTATATTGTTGTGATCATAAAGCACCTCTTTCAGACTAAACTTTTAACAACATTATTTTGATGGATACTGTTTAGTATGAAAAAAGCAAGAAGCAGTTGCACTCTAATTAGG